TGCCGACAACTTCTCTACCAGTCAATGGCCACCATCCTGGCTCACACAGGCTTTGAGTGTGCCAATGAGAGTGTTCTGGAGACCCTGACAGACATTGCCCACGAGTACTGCTTGAAGTTCACCAAACTGCTGCGCTTCGCTGTGGATCGAGAAGCTCGACTTGGGCACACCCCTTTCCCTGATGTCATGGAGCAGGTCTTCCATGAAGTGGGCATTGGCAGCGTGCTCTCTCTGCAGAAGTTCTGGCAGCACCGCATTAAGGATTATCATAGCTACATGCTTCAGGTGAGAAGAGCATTAGGGACCCGACAGCACCAAGAAATGTACCCCCAGTACAATTACTTCTTCCTGTGGCAAGTCCTGAGTCTTACTGAGGTGAAATCCAATTAGAAAACCTCCTGGATGTGGAGGGGAGTCATCAAGGGAAAGAGAAACAGGATTTTTTTGACTGGAAGACAGACCCCCTTATTTGTGTCCCTACTGAGGCTAAGGATGCTCTACTGATGGCTTGCCTGAGTTAAAGGAGAGTCCCCCAGCTCTTGAATGGCCCAGACAAAAATATCAAGTAGAGGTAAAATCAAAACTGACTGATAAACTGAATTTTCTGCTTTAATGAAATATTTGGCTGGAAAACAAGTAAGGAGACAAAAATTACTAAGTTGTGCAGAAGTTTGTGTTTGCTTAAGCAAGGGGTGACTTCCTTAAGCTTTGGTAGGAGTATAGGGTAGTATTGTGCTGATCTGACTTGTCACACAGGTGCTACCTTCCACTGTAGAGGAGACTGTGCTGTTGAGAAAGAAGGTGAATTGTTAAATAAGAGGCATCAATAAATGTAGGTTGTAAGAATAAGGGTATGGTTTCTCTCTCGGTCCCAGTATTCTAAGAAATTAAACATGCATTTTGTCTGAATGATATGAGGCTGCCTGTTGTGGACTTAGAGAAATGCAAGGATTTGAAGTGGAAATCATGCTCCTACTTATCAAAAACAAGGCTTGAATCAAGTAGGTAGCCTGTGACCAAAACCAAAACCTGCCATTCCTTCTTCCTTATGAGTGCCAGTTGACTCATTTTGGAGCAGCTACCTTGTGCTCCTGCTTTTCCCAGGGCTGACACCTTGTGGCTTACAGAGGCAGTGTAAATCAGAGACACATGTAGTATGTAAGTTGTGATGGATTCTGAGGTTTGTGCTTAAAAATAACATCATCAAGCTCTGTCTTCATTAAAACATTCCTGTTCAGAAAACCAGTTGTGTTCATTTTTGTTCAAATGTTTTTATTCAGATATTCTGTCTTTTTGAATTTGGGCTTTCTGTGTCATTCTACTGATGCAGTTTTCTCTCGTCCTGCAGCCAGTTGTTGTCTTAGTGGTTTTGTTCTTTATACAGGGCTGAGGTCCACAGTAGCCTCTGTATTTGGAAGCATATCTAGAAGGGGGAAATAGGCTTTGCTATTCTTTTTCCTGCTTTCTTCTGTTGTTAAAAAGTCTTGGGATTTTCCTGAGACAGTTCATTGACTGTTGGGATTTAGTTGTATAAACAAGCATTTGTTAGAAGCAGATAAAATCTGAAATTTTTAAAATTAATTGCTTACTCTTGTTAACTTTCTGGAAGTACAGGGTAATTCTAAATCTCATTCCTGTATTTGTTCCACTTTAACTGGAGAAAACTTCTGTACTTTTTGCTGTGAATTTGTCAGAAGGTACTCAGGCTTTGTCCAGTGGTGACTACAGAGCTTACGAAGATCTGAAGTGCTTGGTTTTTAATGCTGGGGTAAATTTGTTACTGAAGGATGGGGGACAATCTTATAGGTAAAACCAAAGAATAAGACAGACACTTTACTTTTGTTCCTTGCTCTTTTTAAATTTCTGGGCCTCATCATCTCTGTCTGAGAAATCTTTGTCAATCAGATGTTAATGGATTAAACCTCTTATTAAAGCCCCTTGTTACAGGACAGAAGGTGCACTTAAAGAGGAAAAAAAAAAATCTTTCCTGTGTAGCTAGTAAGCTGTTTACTTTTTCGTTTGGGTCAGATGTTAATAACATTCTGGGAACAGAGTGCACTGCAATGTAATTGCCATCAGAGTCTCTGAAGTCATTCTCACCTTTCTGGCCTCTTCTTCACCCACTGATCTTGGACAGGTTAGCAAGCAGCTCTCTGAAGAATACGAGAAGATTGTCAACCCTGAAAAGGCAGCAGAGGACACAAAGCCTGTGAAGATTAAGGAGGAACCTGTGAGTGATATTACTTTCCCCATAAGTGAGGAGTTGGAAGGAGATCTGGCTTCTGGTGACCAGTCTTTGCCTGTTGGAGTCCTTGGAGCTCAAAGTGAGCGCTTCTCAGCCAACTTGGAAGTAGAAGCTTCCCCGCAGACTTCAGGTAGGGATTTCTTGCTGCTCCTGGAAACAGTCCATTAGCAATTCCTTGTGATCTTCTTTCCTCTGGATAGTTTTAGATTCACATTCAGAGATTCATGTTATTGAGAGGTTGAAGGTCATGTTCCTAAGGTAGTTTAGGCACCAAATGACTTCTGGAAATACAAATGATACTTGCTGCTGTTCTCCATGTTCAGAAGTCACCCTGGTAGTGACAATCATTGTATTGTGAAAACTTATCAGTGACTTATGTGAAATAGGCTCATGGAAGTCCCTCCTAGCATCTCTACCCCAAAGCCTGCTGTGGTTAGCTGAGGCCATGGAAAGTGAAATGGTGAGTGACGTACCGGGGTTATGGAGACTGCACTTTTTTCCTCAAAGTGCAATTCCTTGATGTTGGCATTGAAGCACACTGGTGCTGCTGTGCCTTTTCTATATCTATATACAAGTTTCATTCTGTTCTATGTTTAGTAAAGCTAAACTTCCTGTGAAATGAAGAAGATATTCGTCTTCCAAAGAAAGGCAGTTTTAATTTTGTATAGAACCTTCTGAACTCTGGAAATCCCTGCAATAGTAACTGTTTCACTTAAAAATCTGGTTAAAAAACAATGAAGCCTGTCCTCTTAACCCTAAACTAAGTAGCATATATAGTGAGGGTAGAGTATACCTCTGAGTCCATTAAATTTTTTACATTGTGCTGAGCTTTAAGAAAGCACAAATCCATCTGATGTTTTTCTGAAAACTCCCACTGTTTTTCATAGCACCTCCAATATGTGAATTGTTTGCATTTTTGTGGGAGAGGGAACAGCAGACTCCTCTGGCCCATCTGGGATTGTGAGTGATTCATCTGGAAAGTTTCGTATTAGCATTTACCACTTGAGACCCAGAGGTTAGCATGCTAGCTGTATATTAAATGCCTCTTGCCTCTCTGATACCAAATTGATATTTTCTAATTAAGAATACAAGTGCTCTGTTCCTTCCTGAAAATCCCTCTTCACTTCATAAGAGCCTTTGGAAATCTCATCACTGTGAGAAGTCCCAGTCTAGGGCTGGGCAGGCTGGAGAGTGTAATACCATACGGGGCAAGAAAAAGCTGCTGCAATTAGGACTCCACCCTCTCAAAAATACAGGTGTGAGGCCCAAAGAGAGGTCAGTAAGCCTTCAGTGTCTGAGGGCAAAACTCTTCTTACAGCCTTCCCCATTCTTTTTGTGTTTCTGCTTATGCCTGATGTTGCAGTTGTGGGCTAGTTGCTTAATTTCATTGCAGTTGGAGAATGGATGCAAAATTGGGGACTTTGTTCCTCCACCTATCAGGATAACATGAGGATTAGCTTATTTGTGAAGTACTTTGAAGTTAAAGTGCTTTGAAGATGAAACATCCTGTGTTGATGCTTAAGTACTTTTAGTCATTAGTGACACTCTCAGTGATAGGTGACAGGGCTGAATGGAGTAAGAGCAATTGATGATGGAAAGACACAGTTTAGTTCAGTGAGCATCTCTGATTATTGTCTAGACTGGAGCTGTACCTGTGGAACTGATAGTGTTTTAATGATGTGTCCATTGTTGTTGAGAGGGATGCATTTACTTATGATTAACATAAAAAGGACTTTTCATTAAGGCAACTGAGCTAATGTGGGTTGTGTTGCCACAGAGGTCTCATAAACCCTGCTTTGGGTTAGCTGCTCTGGAAAAGATTCCTGACTTCTTCATAAAGGAGAGTTCTCAGTACAGACGTGCTGGGAGATTTCTTCTCTGTGTAATTGCTACTAATAAGGGACTATTGTTACTAGTGTATTGATAATAGGGAATAATAGTGGGTTTGGCTCAGTACAAGATATTAGGTTGTGCTTTCAAACTGTAACCGTGCTCCTTGAGACACAAGGTTTGTAAAACTCGTTAAAACTGGTTTCCTATTTTACTTGGCACGTTTGGGTGGTTTTTTTTTTTTTTTTTTTTTTTTTTTTTTTTTTTTTTTTTTTTTTTTTTTTTTTTAATTTTTTTCCTTTTAGTTTTATTTTTACTTATTTTATTTTTCATGTGAATTTAATGCCACACAAGAGGGACCAGATTTAAAAGTGAGAAGATTTCATGGTTCAGTTTTGGGCTGTTTATGCCCATCTCAGCAAGGAGCCCAATTAGTGCATTTTTAAGAGAATTTTTGTGTCTCTTAAAACTGTAAATAAAGAGAAATAATGCAATCTGTAATTGCTACTCTTGGGGAGAAAAACATTTGCTGTTATCAAGAAATATGATTTCATTATCTTGTACAGAAAATCCTCAATCTGCTCAGATTGCACACTAGTTCAGAAGTTTTTTATAAAAAAGGTGGATGGGGGAGAGCTATTTCCCGTGAGTGTGTCTGTGAGGTTGAGCCAAGAGAATTTCTTTCTGTTGTGCTGAAGCATGGGATGAGACCTGTGGGTGTTGAGTACAAGGAGGCAGGCAGGTGGCTGACTGCAGCTCTGATGTCCCTGCATTTCAGTGCTGAAAATGCTATTTGAGACTGTTCATCTACCTACTCCTCTGCCCTCTCACTTCACCTCCCCTGCAGAAGTCCAGTATGTCTGACAGTTGCAAGGACCTCATAGTGACTTCTGGACTGCCTCAAAGTCCTGCTTATGCAGGGTCTAGTTCATGTGCTGTTGGTGAACTCACTGCTGCTTAGGTACTCCTTCTGGAGAGTCATATGAAGTTGTTTCTCATGGAGAAAATGACCTGGAGGCTTGCAGTGAAAGGATAGGATGTTTTTTAGAGTGGCAGTTGCTGGGCTGTTAGAACAAAAAAGCCAACAGGTTTTTTTTTTAAATTAATCACAGTGCTTGTTGCATTTTGTTGGTTTTCCCCCCAGCCTAGTTCACCTGTGGCTTTGCTTTTGCTCCGTCTTTATCAGCGCTGCTGTCCCTTGTATCTGCATGCTGTTTATGATTTATCTTTTTACTTAGTTATTACCATGTGCTTTTTCTTTTTCTAGGGGCTGAGGTGAATGCTTCCCCACTCTGGAACTTGGCACAGGTGAAAATGGAGCCACAGGAAAATGAGGAGGGTAATGTACATGGCCATGGGGTCCTAGGCAGTGATGTCTTTGAGGAACCAATGTCAGGCATGAGTGAAGCTGGGATGCCACAAAGCCCCAATGGCTCTGAGAGCAGCTACGGTTCTCATTCTGCTGACAGTCTGATGGGATCCTCACCTGTCTTCAACCAGCGCTGCAAAAAGAAGATGAAGAAAATGTGAGAAGGAACATTCTTTTTATTTAGTCCTGATGGTATTTAACAGACTGGAAATGAACTAGGAGAGTACTGTGATGGCTACGATTCTAACACAGGGCTGGCCCTGGTGTATGAGGGACCTCATACATAAAATTACTGTGAGAGGTTTGATGTGTAGTGCACTTCAGCTCCCCTCTTTGCTGGCTTCTGTACTCCATCCTGACTCATGAGGTAGAAGATCACCCATTACATTTGACGGTGGCATGGCTTGCTTTGGCAGATTAATGAGGAATGTACCAGTGAAAAGTAGTTGTGAGGAGGTTTGCTAAGTCACAGAATCATTGAATAGTTTGGTTTGAAGGTACCTCATGATATTTCTACTCCACCCCCCTGCTCAGAGCACAGCCATTTAGAGCAGGTTGCTAAGGGCTTTGTCCATTTGAGTTTTGAGTATCTACAGGCATAGTGATGCCGAACCTCTTTGGGTAACATTTTTCCACATTTGACAACCTTCATAGTAAGAAAAAAAATATTCTTGCATCTAGTTGGAATTTCCCATGTTCCAGCTTGTCTTCATTGCCTCTTGTTCTATCATTGCTCATCTCTGAGAAGAGTCTGACTGTCTTCTCTAACCTCTTAATATCTCTGGCTATTAAGTGACTATATACAATGAGATCTCTCTCTAGCCTTTTCTCATCTCAAATGTGAAGAAACCATGTTCCCTGAGCTCTCCTTGCTCGTCCTGTGCTCCAGCTCCCTAACCAGTTCTATGGCCTTCCACTGAAATTGCTGCAATGCCCTTGTGAAGGGGAGCACAAAAGTGGCTGCAGCCCACCAGACAGTCTCACAAGTGCTGAATAAAGAGGAATAATAATTTCCCTCAACGTGCTTGCTTCCCTCATGCTTGCTGACTGTTGGGAGCGGCAAAAGAGTCTTAAGGTAGGGTATTTTAAATTAGAGAGCCGTTGCTGATGATTATGATGACCTAGCAAAGATGCTGTAGCATGGTCTCACAGTGCCAGCTCACTCAGTGCCTTCAGATTAATCCTGTTGGTTCCAACTGGCTTAAGTTCTTGCTAACTCAGTCTTCCTTGCCATAGGTAAAGCTTTATTACCACACACTGATTGAAGGCCCAGGGACCTGACAGGCCTTAAGGCAGAACTTATCAGTAAAAACAGACAGAAAAGGTGTTGTGTACATCAGCCACAAAGTACAAAGAACATCCTTTGTCACCGTATTGCCTGCATTGTTGAACAGTAAACCCATATTTTCTTATAGTTTCTTTTGCTTCCAGTGTACTTATAAAAGCCTTTCTTCACATCTCTTACCAGTTTCAACTCCAGCTGAGCTTTGGCTTTCCTAATTGTTCCTGCATACTTGGGCTGTGTCTCTATATCCCTGCTGGCAAGCCCATTCTCATTTCCACTTCTCTGTACTTTTTTGTTTGTGTTTGAGCTCAGTCAGGAGTTCCCTGGTCATCTTTGCTGGCCTTCTGTCATGGCTACTTTAATTTCTGCTTGTCAGATAGGACTGTTTTTCTACTTTGAGAAAGCTGTCTTTGAAGATAAGGCAGCACGCTTGGGTTCCTTTGGGAAGCCAGGGTAGTCCCTCATGAAATCCTGCCAAGACATTCCTTGAATAAACCAAAATTTGTCGACCTGAAGGTACAGGACTCTGTCTTGTAAATATTTCTCGGGATTTTAGATGCCACAATTCCATGTCTTCTGCAGCCAAGACCTTCACATTCTCCACCAATTTTTCCTTGTTAGAAACAAGTCAAGCAGAGCTTATTCCCTAATTGATTTCGTGATCATTTAGTCAGGGAAGCTGATGCGGTTTTTTGGAGAGAATGAAGCAGCTTTTAGTATTGGTGTGAGCCCATACTGGCAATGCAAACTTTTCCTTTGCTGTCATTGGCTTGAGTGCAGCAACTTCAGACTGGGTGAGGTTTCATATTCAAAGTTGTTATCTTGACAACTTAGTCTGAAACAGAATCTATTTTGCTGCTTGCTTTTACAGCTCAGCTGACTGATGGCATTTCTTTTGTTCTGCACAATTCTCAGTTGATCAACTCGGTCTTTAACTTGATTCAGTGTGTCTCTCTCTCAAAAGGGCTGGAATGAACGTGAATCAAGAATGAACAGCCACTTAAACTGGCTTTATACCTGTAACCCCTTGGGATGTTTGAGGGAAATTTACCAAACCTCCCATTTATCCTTACAATTGCAGGTTTATCTTTTGAAAGAATGAGCTTCAGGCATAGTATTTTTGTTTCTGTATAACATGCCTGGCCTTAATTCTTTTTTCCTAACTGTATTTCTTTTCCACTTTATAGAAGTGGAAGCCAAACATAAAATTCCTCAATGTCTAATAAGAATGTGTGACCACAGGCTTTTATGGACAATGGAGTTAAAATTGTCCATCACAGTTTTAAAGTTTTCTCTTGGGAGTTAAATTCTCACTATTTTAAGCCTAGTCAGTAGTAGAAGAGCATACCAGGAAATCTTTATTTTGATTCCCCCTGAGTCACCATTAGGCAATCTGCAATGTCCCTGTTTTCTCAGCCGTAAAAAAAAAAAAGTAATATTTGCCTTTCAGAAGTATGTTTGAGATTTAGTTACTATGCAAAAAAAGGCACAGTGATCGTTCAGAGAGTTTTGAGAGAGTCATGAGCTTTTATTCAATTCTGGTAGGACTGTTGCTGGCTGGAGAATGTTTAGATGGTCACTGAAATGCTACAGTCCTATATGATACAGGTTTTAAGCAAAACTGCTGATCACAAAGAAGTACAGCACAACTCTACTGTTCAGCTGCCCAGGTACAAGGAAGGCATTTGAGGTGGTATCTTCTCAGCTTTAGATGTCTACATCTAAATTCTTTCTTCTGGACTCCAATTGCAGTTGAAGAGAAATAATCATTCTTAAGTCACTGTTCTTTTGGCCTTGAAGTAGAAGTATAAAGCGGCTCAAATGAGTGGCATTTTTAGAAATGTCTGTTTTTCCTTTGTGTGCTCATAGAGTGAGTTCAACTTGACTACCTCTGCTGAAGACATCCACACCATCAATATCTGACATAAGGGATCTGACTTTAGCCGTTCCTGTGTGGGAATCAGAGGAGGCCTCCTCCTGCTAGGCCAGTGCTTTTGCTTTTCTTTTCTGCACATTTAGCAGAGTTTGCCATTCAAATGGCCGTAAGGGGCTAAGAGTAGGCTGCCCATCTCAGCTAAACCAGTAGACCCAGTGTTCTCCACAACACACAGAATGTAGAGTGTGCTAGGCTGGGGTCTCGAAGCTCAGCCTGATTTGGCCCTTGTGTCTGATACTGTGTGAGAACACCTGTCATTGGGCTTTTCTCTGTAGATGCTTTGCAAACAGGTGTATTAAAGTATTCTCGAGGCCAGGGTACTTATGCAAAGTCTGTTGCACTGTTTTCAGGAGCTGAATGACAGAGTGACTGCTGCCAGCATCGCTTGCTCATTTGCAAGATTTCAAGTGGGCTAAAAATGAAAATCTAGTGTTCTCCAGGACTTTGGTTAAACCTCCTAAGTGTTAATCTTAAGTGCTTTCTTTGTATTTCTCATGTGCAGATGTTCTTTCTTTCTTTTGTGATTTTTTTCATTTCATGTCCCTTTTCCACACCCGTTTCACCCTATAACACACACTGCAACAAGCCAAACCTGAGTGCTTCAAGTGTATTTAAATACAGTGGAAATTCACCCTCCTTTGATTCAGCTGTGTCATTGCAGTGTAAGGAAGAAGTGTCATTGATTCTCTTTGGGATGCATGTTTATGCAGAGGTGAGAAATCCATCAGCATTGCTTACATACTTAAAAATGAAGGCAGAGTAATAGCTGTACCTCCTGTTCCCACACTATGCTAAGGGTTGCTGCTGACATTTGTGTGCTTGAAGTTTCCTCTTGTGCATGTGGAAGCTTCACCTTCTGGGTGAGCCCTTCCCCTCTGAACATTTATGGTTTTTAGATTTACAGTAGTGTTCATCATGCATGAAATAGTGAAATTTAAAATCCAGCTCACAAAGTCAGATACAGACAATATGCTCTTTTGATGAATCAAATAAGATTTTGCTAGGTGTTAATGCAGCCTCGGGCAACTAGTGAGGTGTTCATTGACCATGTAATCCCCAAATTTTAAGCCACTGTGAGATTATGCAGTGGGCTGGAATGAAGCTCTGCTCTTGCAGTTGTTTTTTGCTGATCGCTGGTAAAGCACTCTGCTGACCCACCTGCTTCAGCAGTCTGCACTTTTGATAGTTCTTTCATCTTTTCTCCGTTCTCTTTCCAAAGGTGGGTGGATGAAAAATTGGAATATTGAGTATTGACCATGTCCATATCCAGTAGCATTGATGTCTTTTAGTGATTTAGTTTGCCATGATTGAAATTGGTGGGAACTTTGATATCAATTTGGAGAGCAAGATCTGTGAATTACTTGGCTTTTGAAGTGTTTTGCATAGGAATCATACAGAATTGTAGTTGAGAGAGCACTGTGCATCATATTCCTTTTTCCCTCTAGCAATACCTTTTTATTCCTTTTGAAGAGTTTTGCCTGGTATCCAACAAAGTTCTCTCTATAAATGGCAGCGTAACAACTGTAGTATACAGCTCTGTGTCAGACTGTGCTACCTAGTGATTTAATTCCGAGGCCATCCATGCTAATTTCAATATTCATAATGATGTGCAGAAAAAGAGATGTTTGCTGCATAGAAATTTACAATTTAAAAAGAAAACAGGAAAATAAGATTAGGTAGGGGAGGTGAGGCCAATCTGATTATGTGCTCAGTTCTGAGACTAATGCAGGTGTTATGTGTGAAGGATGTTTTACTTAAAATGTTTTTGTACATGCATGTGAACGAAATAGGTAACTTTGCTTGTGTTTATATGGAACAAAATTGCTTCATAATATTTCAGGGTTGGGTTTTTTCCTTGCTCTCCTGGAGAGAGTTTCTTTGTAATTTCTAATAAAATAAATAAACTACTCAGAAATAAAAATCCTGAAAGCGTTGTGTGGATATTTTGGTTTGTTTTGAAGAATGGTGCTGTGAATGCAAAGTCTGCTCTTGGGGTTCTGTCTACCCTGACGTGGGATCTGAGTAGACCTTTTGCAGGCCTAAATAAAGGGCTGAGATGATATATCAGTGTTAGTGTCACAACTAGGAAGACAAGATATATTATTCCAGGAAGTGGCCAGAGAAAATGCAAGTCTTATTTTTCACAGGTGCCAGTGTTAGTGAGCCCCTGAAGTGATATTAGAACCACAGTGCAAGTATTGGTATTCATCTAGCATAATCAAGTGCCGTTTCTGGAGCAACTGCTTATATATACTTCTACTCCTTATATTAACAGACTGCCTAGGAGCCCTGCTCCAAGCCATGTGCTTTGCTCTTTTATGTGCTGGTCTACTTCTTTTACATTCTGCTCTTTTTTTCTGGGGGACTGCTTTAGACTGCAGTGAATGAAGCACAGCGTATTTTCCCCTCTGCTCTGTCTGTCATGGTAGGGCTGAGGAAGGAATGTTTGGTGCTTGATAGCACTGCTAAGCAATTGCAAATAACACACCATGAATTAGGGTATTGGCTTGTGCTGCTTGCCAGGAGAGAGGGAATAATAACCATTGTGCTTCTCATCACCCTTGTACCTGGCAGCAGCCGTGTGGGATGACTGCTCTCCTCCCAGGCCTATACTGCTGAATTAATTTCCCGGTATGCATGTGCGTCTTGGGCTGTACTTTCCACTTCCCTATCAGGACCTGGAGGCAGAGGAAAGCAATCACCCCTTCCCATTGCATCCCACCGGTTTAAAGCCTGATCCCACTTCTACCTCCCTCTGCTCTAAAAACCTGGATAATCCGTGCTGCGGCAGCCGAGAGCCTTGTTGCCAGATGGTCCTTTCCAACCCAGCTGATTCTATGATCTCGGGGTGGGGGCCGACACCCCGGTTCCTGGGCTCGCTGTGCCCCGGCTCTCACCCCCTGCCCGGTGCGGGTGCGGCCGGGGCCGCGTGGTGGTGCTGGACACACGCCGCTGGCGGGGGATGCTGCAGCCCAGGGAGGGCCGCTTGCGGCTGCAGCGCCAGCCTTGCTTCTCCCCTCAAACCCCCCCCCCCAGACTTCAAACCATGTCATTTTCGCTGCGTCTTTTAGGTTGGAGATTAGAATCGCCTCTCTGTTGCTATGGAAACGCTGCGTGAGAGAAGTCGACCTCATTATGAGTTATGACGAAACGTCCTTTGGAGTGGGCTCGGCACCCGGTGCCCTTGCAGTGGGGAGAATGGGGCTGTGGGATCTGTGGCTGAATGGTGATGCTCAGTGCTTTGCAGAGCTCGTGGGTCTTTCCCTTCAGGCTCAGCAGGCTAGAAACAGCCTTGCTCCCGAAGCTTCCTTCCCTTTGGGAATCAGCTCGGGAGTCGTGCGTGCACCTGGACTGCACGTGCTCTCTCTTCAGGGTGTGTGGAGTGTCCTTGCAATAGGCAGCGGAGCCTGACAGTGAGCTGGATGAAAGGCTTGGGTGTTGTAAGGGTTCTTTTTTGTTTCTGGTGTCTCTCAGGGCCCTGGCACCCATTCTGTGTGCTTCTCCCTCAAAACTGGGCTACCACCTCTGAGCCCAAACTGTCCTTCCAAGTGTGCCTCACTCTCAGCTTTGTGCCCATCCAAACATGCTGCTGCCTCTGCTCATCCTGTGCTGCCCCTGGCTCTTCATGTAGGTTTGCCCCATCCCTCCCGTGACCAGCATCACTCATTCTCCTCTCGAGCTCCCGACAGTTTCTGTGCCCTCACCGCCCAGCTTCTTCTGGCACATTGTTGCTGCCTGCTTTGAGCTGCAAAGCAGATTTAGGAAGTAACTTTTTTTCTCAGAGGGAAAAAAATCTGATAAGGTTGGTTATCTTAGTTTAGCCAAAGTTTTCCTTTCTTTTGGTGGAGGAAAGGAATTTGGAACTTGCTGTAAATATAATAGTTGAAAATGCTGATCGCTCTTGCCAGTTGTTCCATTTTGTTGCTGCTGGACAAACTGCCCAGGAGGGAAGGCGTGCTTGATTCCAGCTCTGGCATAAAGGTCCCGCATCCCTGATGCCTTCAGGATGAAGGATGGGGACAGGCAGGACTTGTACAGCAGGAGATGATGAGGCAAGGGATCACTGCAGCATCCTGGGCTGGGCATGGCACATGCTCTGGGGTCTGTGTTGCCCTGCTTTGCCAAAGCTGGCATTTGTTAAAAGTTAATCCCATTAAAGACTTTGTGAACTACAGTTCCTTTCCCTTTCTGGGTATCAATTTCAGATTATTTTGAGAAAGGCTGGGAAAATGATAGTGTTTGCCAAGAGTAATACAAAAACCCAAGAAAAATAGGCTTTTTTTTTTTCCTTTTCATTACTTTTTCCAAACATGAAGCAGCCACAATGTTGGTTTTGGTGTTCCTGATTTTGCTGGAGGAAATTTAGTGTACTTGGTGAACACGACATGTCTGCTGCTGCTGCAGCTCCTTTGAAGGCAGCGATACTGAATGTTCAGCAAAACTGTTCTTTTTCATCTGCAATGCCCAATACTGAATAAACTTAAATGAATATAACCAGACCAGTTTGACACTCTCCATCTTTCCCCACTGTCAGTCTCTTGACTCTTGTAATACCATAATTTTGCTATTGTTTGAGTCAATACAAAGTCTTCTGTTGTACCGCAGTCCTGGATTTCCCTAGTAAAGAAAGGAAACAAGGGAGCCAATTGCTGGTAACTCTGAATGCCTAAAGAAAATTACATGAAACAATTTTAATCTGAAAAGCTGTAGTATATAAAACCCTTCTAAGAATTCCTCATGCCCTCTAAAGAAACAAAACCACACCTCCATTTCCCAGCTTCTTTGATAGTCACATTGAAAGAAAGTAGTTGCATTTATATTGTGATCTCTGAATTAAATTTTTCTGATATGGCTGAGATGTCACAGCCCTATTAACTACAGATGCTCTATAACAGAGTATCTTTAAACAGGCAGGAAGGATAAAATACAATTCATTGTCTAGTGAATAGATTTTTCTGTGGGAAACATTGAGCAAACCAGTTACATCTCAGTATATCCAAATCTTTCACAATGACTTCAAAGAAACCAGAGAAATTAAGTGAATAAAGAGATACGAACCTTCATGTATTCAGCTTCTCTAGCCCAAAGCTCAGAGACCTTCCTGCACTCATTTCTAGTCTTTAAAAAAATTAGCATTTCACAACAGATTGGGGGAACTCTACAGCTCTCAGCTATGATTTTTGTTGTTCTTCTCTCTGTGTCTAACCATTCTGTTTGCATGCTCAGTTCTGATAAATTGTGTTCTTCTTGGGTTGGGTGCAAAATGTACTTCCATAATGAATGAATGTAATTCTTCTTATCTATTAAGGACATCTAAGAAGATACCCTAAAAGATGCCTATCTTATAAGGTGTTTAATCAGACAGAATCACTCCTTGAAAATGTACTAATGGCCTGGTCCTGCTGAGTACTCCTGAAGCAAGTGTGAATCAAAGATATCTGGTCTTGCAATTGTGGGCTAGAAAGGAGATTGCTTGTTGGCCAGGCACAGACCCTTACGCATAGACTCTGATTTATTTTATTTCATAAATTCCTCATGAGTCTGGCATCTTCCAGAGTCTTAAGCAGTTTCAGAGCCTATAGTTGCAGACTCCAGTGCTGGTTTTGGGAGTTTCTAGGGTGTTTTAATGAGGCATACAGGTAATTTTGCAGAGTCATGCTACAAGTAGATGTGTACCTGTGAGCGCCAGTGTGGGACTGCGAAAGAACTGACATTTCTTTTTGGAATTGCAGATAGAAGAGACAGTCTATGCAGAAAATCTGTTAGCAGCCTAAAGTGGAGAGAAAACATGAGCTCTTGGAGCATCTACTGGAAATTCATACAGGGGTGAAGGATTTAAAAGTGAAAGGAAAGGCAGAGAAGAGAGAAAGATGAGACAAATTGTTCTAGGAACCGCAAAAGTTAAAAATTGCAAGTCTTTATTCCTTCCTTTCTCCCTGCTCAGAATTCCTCTGCATCCATAAGATATCAGTCATTCAAACTGACATAGGAAAAGCTGAAGAGATAGAGAGGGCAATCTGTGTAGGCATATATTTGGGGATTACTGAAGTATTTAATATTTGTATATGCATTTATCTGTGCAGAGTGGCTATGAAGTTGCCATCATATCATTTAGTCCCCAAAGGATTATGAATGGCTTCAATGTTACTTCTATCAGTATCCTGTGGGATGTGTGACCAGGAGAGTTTCAGGTGCTTGAGGTAACCATGAAATGCTCCTGGTCTTTCATCTAGCAATTCAGATAAGCACATCTGTGATTTTAAGTGTATGAAGAACAGAGTGTGGATGTGCTTTGAATTATGCGTATACCTCAATGCTTTGCAGGATAAGTGCAGTACAGTAGAGTAATGAGCAAAATTAAAAAAAAAAAAAAGAAAGCTCATAATTCTAAATCTAGGTCAGGACCTGCAGTTCATCTCTCTGGACACTCGATGCCCCTAGCTAACTGGCATGACTGGGCTTCTCCAGGAATGTTATTTTATTCCACTGATCTGACAACACCCGTTGTTTTCCTATACACAAGTGTCCATATCACTAAATCACCTCTGCCATCGTTAGTGCTAATTGGCTCCCTTGCTGTATCCTCAGAGGAGCATGATAAGTCTGAATGGAAACTGAAGGCCCATCTCCCCACAGAATGGCACTGCAACAACCTGTGAATATATAGCAACCTCTGCTTTCACATTGTGCTCCATGGTCTCTTCTACAGAGAAGTTTGAAAAACCAGGGCTATCACTCTCAACATGTTCTGTCAGGACTGAATTTGCCCACACAGAACTTAAAGCATACTAACCACTGGTAAATGTTCGTTTTCCATCATGTTTTTTTGCCAGCTGATGCCTGTGTGTGCAGTCGGGTGCGCTGGGCAGGCTCCAGCCCCTGGTAAACAAGAGAGACAAAAGGAGGATGTGAGCGGAGTGGGAATGCAGATGAGTGTTGGCATGAGGTCAGACACTTTTACAAAATACCACCCTCCATTTAAGCTGTGTCATGCTTTCTGATGTGTCATATTTTATGATGGATTAGACAAAGCTAGCAATGTTTTGGCAGACTGAACAAAACTCATGCAAGAGTAGGTCTTTTTACAAAAATTTATCTTTCAGAACCCTTCTGAGAAATCCCTAATTGTCCTGGAAAATCTGTTTTTACATGTAGGTGCTCAGTGTGTAATCCTGAACAGATCTCAATATTTGAGCAGTAATTTTTTGCGGACTGAGTAAAATACATTCTTTGTCCTGCAAATTTTTTCTATCCTTTTCCAAAAGGAGTGATGAGCTTCTCCCATTAATAAGGACAAGGGAGAGGGAGAAAAGGAGAGGCAGAGCTGACATCTGTAGTTCCTGCATCTGAATTGGGTTCTGTTATTTATTTTATATAACCAGAAAGTCTTGAAATCTGCTTTTGAGAAAGGAGAAATGGAGCGGGCTGTGGAGAATGGAAGAATCATGATTTCATTCCAAGGAAAACGAGGGAGGAAAAACAGAGTCCTGCCAACAGAAATACAATGTTCTTTGTCCTCTCTCACTTCCACTGCCATCCCACCTACCATGGTGAAGTCCCTAGGGGAAACAGAAGCAACCAGAAGGTACAGAAGCAGTTTCATATGTTCTTAAAGTGTGTTCTCAGTCAAAGCTATTTACATTCTCTCTCTATCTTGTCAGTTGTAGGCCCTGAGGGTCTTTCTGTCCTTTTCCTTTCAATGAGTGTGGTTGAATTGTGGCATCCTTTCTGCTCCCCTCCATCTTCAAGGTCTCCGCTTGGCTTCCCAGCAAGATGCACACAGATTTACTATTTGGCAAAATGCAGCATCACTATTCCATACTCCACTCTAAATCTTATCCTTCTAGCTTTGCAGGTTTTGTTTGCTTAAATGAGCGGATTGCAACCAAAAGAATCTGGATTGGCAGCTCTGAAGACTTTAATCCTCTTTTCATCCACAGAGCAAAAATAATGCATCAGGAATGTGACTGGGATGACTGCTATGCTGGATAATACCAGAGA